AAGGAAGGTTATAAAAAATACGCGAAGTATACACAGGTCCATATGTGGCCCCCGCTGCCTTAAAGAACATTTACTTTCTGGGCCCAGTTTACAGAAGAAGTTCGCCAATCCTGGCTCTCAGGAAAGGGCAAGGGGGTGGTTGTGGGAGTGTAATTTTAGCGGGCCCTGAACTCTTTCTTGCTAATAACTGGAGGGCGTCTGCTGGCTTCCTTTTCCCATACCCTTTTCCTCTTCCTGCAGGAGTTAAGTATGACCTTGACCTGGGGCCCCACAGAGATTCTGCATTGGAATCCTGAGCCACAGCGTGGGCGGACACTCTGCTTGCAACCCTGAAGAAAACAGGAAAGACTGTTTCCTACCTTGGCCTCGAGTAGTAGGGACCTGGTCCCCACAGCCCACAGGATGAACCAAAGCGGGCAGGTGGGTAATGCCCCATCACTTGCTGAACAAACCTGCTGCTCACACCTCTCATCAGAGCTAACACCTTGGCCTTTGAGAGCTTGAGTGGAGCAGAAAAGCCCCCTGGGTTCTTTTCAATCCACTGTCTACCTTCTTTGAAGTGGTTACAAATATTTTATTATTGTCTAATGCAAATCACAAGTTCAGGGAATTCTTACAGCCCCTGTGAGTGGACAGAGCACTGTAAAGTCTCCCAGAGTCCTCTTTCGGACTTGGGGGTTGCAGTTCATGGATAGCAGGGTTTAAGTTTACAGTCTATGACCCTAAGCAGTGCATTTTGGCTCCTTTGTTTGTTCGTTTGTTTGAGACGGTGTTTCATGTGGCCCAGGCTGGAGGGTAGTAACTCTTCATAGGTGTAATCATAGTGCACTATAGCTTTTAACTCCGGGGCTCAAGTGATCCTCCTGCCTCAGCCTTCTAAGTAGCTGGAGCTGTAGGCACATATCACCACACATGGCTCTGGCTTTGATAAACTGACTGTCTCATCAGAGTTGACACTTATGCCTTGGGCCTTATTCTCCTCTGCCCTGACCAAGTGAGTTAATTCAGACTGTGCCGCCCTCTCTACTTGAAACTGTTAGCTTCCTGAGCATGCCCTCTGTCCAGACTGGTACAAAAACAATAGCATGTTTGAGCTAGATGTTCCCTTCACTTTTATGTAATCCAGTGAGGCAGTAAGGGGCACTGTGCCACCAGTCTTCACTCTGGAACCAGGCAGACCTTACTCATTGATCCAGCCAGTCTCAGCAGGGCACTTCTGGCTGCCATTGCCCATGTAGCACATTTGACTCGTGAATTACAATGATCACCACATCTCTGATGTGGTTTGGTGCCCTGACTGTGACTGAGAAAAATGAGGCCAAGAGAGGGGAAGCGATTCAACCAAAGTCCCACCCAGGTGAGTGGCAGAGGCAGGAAGAAAGTCAGATATCCTGAATCGGGGTTCTGTAACTGTTACTGGTGGCATTGTCCCTGTGAATGGGCCCACGGAGACCCCGCAGACAGAGGCCAGCCACAACTGACTGGTAGGTCCTCTTTGAGGATAGCCTCCTTCCCAAAGGCGTACATTTGGAACCTGAGCCATGGCAGTGTTCTGTGTATGTGGTAACATCACATGCAAGTCACAAGATGTCAGATGCATCTGTTTTCGTCATGCACTTTCCATCCATAGATAGAATGCATATTCAGGAATGAGCCCAGGATGAATAACGAGGAATCTGGGATTCTGATTCCAACTCTGTCCTCTTTTCACACTGACTTTGGGGACTTTTTACATTACAGAGATTTGGTCTTCCCATCGGTAAAATGGGGCTAACACCTCCAACCTGCTTTCCTGCCTTGTGGGGATTGGTGTGCAATCTCTCCACATATGAAGGCTTATCCTCTAGGGAAGTAAAACATCAGCTGTTTCCAGCATGTTGAAGAACAGTGTTTCTTACATCATTCCTCTACCCCTACGGTTTCGTAGGGAGGGTGAGTGGATGGGGCTCTGGACCCTCCATAGCTCCCAAACAGCCCTGTGTCATATTGGGCTTCCTGTAAGATTGTATTTTATGAAAATGCTCTGTAACAAGAAGGAATGGAGGGAGAGAAGGAAAAAAAAAAACTCTTCCTGAACTAGCAATATACATGGGGAGCCCTAATGCACACATCTTGGATTAGAAACTCCAGGCCTGGGCATATGAATTTTTTTAACTAAAAAAGTAATATCTGTTGGATGTAAACCATGTGTAGCTTAATGTGTTTTTCTCATAGAAAACATGTTTTCTCATGTTATTTTATTGAGATGAAATTCACAAGACATAATAATTAACTATTTTAACCCATTTATGCTGAATATTGCAAAGTTTTTTATGTGAAAAATCAAACCTTGGTGATGACCTTGAGCAGTAGGATATAAATAACTCCCACAAGCTTAGCATTCCAATAATGGAATACTAGGCATAAATGGGCTAAAGTCTATCATTTAGTGGCATTTGTTGCATTCACAATGTATGACCACCACCTCTCTCTAGTTTCAAAACTTTTTCATCATGTCAGAAACACACCCTATATCCATTAAGAAGTCACTCCCCACTACCCATTTCTCCATCCCCTGGCAGCCACTAATTTGCTTTCTACTACTCTGGATTTGCCTACCCTGGACAGATCATATAAAAGGAATTACATTATATGTGACCTTTTTGTGTCTGCCTTTTTCCATGTAGCATAATGTTTTCAAGATTCATTCAGGTCATATCACGTATCTGTAAATCATTCCTTCCTATGGCTTAGTAATTTTCATGGCACTATTTATTTATTTTAGATTTTTTATGATAGGAAGTTTCAAACACATGTAAGTAGAGTGATAGAATGAATCCCCAAGTACCCATCACCCAGATCCAACAATTTGTTTATTTCACCAAGGCCTGTTATTTTTTGATAAAAGCACTCTGTGACAAGAAGGAATGAAGGGAGAGAAGGAAAAAAACTCTTCCGGAGCTATCTATATCCATGTGGGGGAGCCCTAATGCACACATCTTGAATTAGAAACTCCACTGTCCTCATTGTTTCATCTGGGTAACAAAACACCCAGATTATTTTGAAGCAAATTCTAGACATCATGCCCACTCCCTCCTGCCCAGATTGTTTTGAAGCAACTTCTAGACATCATACAATCTTATCTGTACATATTTCAGTAACCATGTATTGTATGGAAAGGCTCCTGGAAATTCAGATGCACAGTAATCTGTAAGAATCACCCAAATAAGCCAGCTTTAGTCCACGTGCTCAGGCAACATGTCTTTGAAGTCTGCTCTAAGAGGCTCCTCAGTGACCCACTTGAAGCCAGGCTTGGGAACCTCAAAGATAGAGTGTTTATTGGTTTTGAAGTCACCTTAATCATCTGATTCTTGGCAGATTTATTTGCTCATGCTTTTGTTCATTGCCTTTCCAACATAAACTGTAACAGGACAGGGAGTGCTGTTGCCTGAGTATCCTGGCAGCCCTGAAAATTCCCCAGAAGAGGCCTTTGGCAGTGATTGGCTTAGCAAGGTTAATGCGTTCCAGCCAACCTGAGTATAACAGGTTCATGGGAGTATAACAGACTTCATGGGAGCAGTGTGCAGGGCTGGACATTGGGGTTCTAGTCCTGCCCCTGCATCTGCACCCTAGGTTTTCCACCTCACCCCTGCCTCTTTGTGCATTTATTGCCTTTGCAATATTGCTATGTCCACAGCAGATGGCGCCTTTGTTCCACCTAACTTTCCGTCTTTCCTAGGATGCTGATCCTCCTCCCCTGGCTTCCAGACAGACCTGGGACTTGGCAGTCATGCTGGGCAATGGTGTTCCTGTGGAGACCCTCAGTTGTCCTATTCCTTCCTAGCTTCCCCGCAATAAAATCAAGCTGCTTTTGTTGGAGATGTTGTCTTGCCTAGTCTTGGTGTTGCTTGCTCACATGTAGGTGGTTACGCTTACTCGGGTTGGAGTTTTGAGAGTTCCCACCTGGGAGTCAGACACCCTGTAGATTCTGATTCTTTGCTGTGTGATCTTTAGCAAATCACTTCCCCTCTCTGGGCCTCATTTTTTCCTCACCTATAAAGTAAAGGCATTGACCCAGAACAGTGATCCCCTTTCTTTTCACCGGTTTCATAGATTTCATATTTTGAAAAACTTTTGTCTATCAGGTGAATTGCACAAAAGGTTATCAAATGTTAAGGCAAGTGGAATAGTGGGAAGAGGCTGTGGAGACAAACTGCCTGGGATAGAGTTCAAGCTCCAGTACCTCCCAGCTGGGCCACTTAACCTCTCAGTGTCCACAGATATAAAATGTGATGATAGCATCTACTGCAAATGGTGGTTGTGGGGATTAAATGAAGTGATACGTATAAATCAATTAGAGCAGTGATTGCTGGTTAAAAATCACTCAGAAAATATTAGTGATTCATTTTTGGCTTTTTGTTTTGTTTTGAGATGGGATTTCTCTCTGTCACCCGGGCTGGAGTGCAGTGGTGCAATCAGGGCTCACTGCAGCTTTGACCTCCCGGGCTCAAGCAATACTCCCACTCTTGCCTCCCAAGTAGCTGGGACTACAGGCACATGTCATCATGCCCAGTTCACCTTTTTTTTTTTTTTTTTAGTTTTTTTCTAGAAATGGGGTCTTGCTATGTTGCCCAGGTTGATCTTGAACTCCTGAGCTCAAGCAATCCTCCTGCCTTGGCCTCCCAAAGTGCCTTGAACTCCTGCCCTCAGGTGATACACCCGCCTCAGCCTCCCGTAGTGCTGGGATTATGGGTATGAACCACTGCACCTGGCTGCCACTCATTTTTAAAATATTTCATTAGTCAAAAATCTGTCACAATGGCAATTTGAATTCCAGTCAGGCTGAGTGAGGTTGAAACTAGTCAGGTTGGAGTGCAGTGGCATGATCATAGCTCCCTGTAACCTCTAACTTCTGGGGTCAAGCAATCCTCCTGCTACAGCCTCCTGAGTAGATCTTATATACTCTTAAAAATTATTGAGGATCTTGGCTGGGTGCAGTGGCTCACACCTGTAATCCTAGCACTTTGGGAGACTGAGGCGGGTGGATCACTTGAGGTCAAGAGTTTGGGACCAGCCTGGCCAATATGGTGAAACCCCGTCTCTACTAAAAATACAAAAATTAGTTGGGCGTGGTGGCACATGCCTGTAATCCCATGTACTCTGGAGACTGAGCCAGGAGAATCACTTGAACCCAGGGGGCGGAGGTTGCAGTGAACTGATATTGCATCACTTCACTCCAGCCTGGGCGAAAGAGTGAAACTGTCTCAAAAAAAAAAATTAAAAATTTATCAAACAGTTTTGGTTATGTGGGTTATACTACATTAGAAATTACAACAGGAATTTTTAAAACAAAAATACCCAGGCACACATCCCATTAGCCATTGGGACTAGATGAAGTCACTGCAGTCATTTAGACTCTGGAAAACTTTACCATACAATTGTTAAGGAGGAAAAGGCATCTTACAGAAGCTTTTAAATTTAACCTCATGTGCCTTCTGAAAGGCTTTTGGGGGTCACATGTTGAGAATCACCACTTCAACCATTTATTGGGCACTTACTGGGGACCCAGGGCTGCTGGAGACTGGAATAAGACGGCTCTGCACTTGAGCAGCTCAGACATGGGACCAGCCACCTCATCTATCTCATAGGCGGTTTCCTCATCTGCGCAATGCATAATGCCTGCACCTCGGGGAACTTAGTAACCAGAAATAACACTTTATTTCAACTCTAAACTGATTGCAAGCATAATTTCCATCCCATTATGAAAGTACTAAACAAATCTCAGGGCCATTTCTGCCTTTGTGGCCCCTCGAGTTCAGGGACTCCTTCCCAGCCCACAAGGTAAATGTGTTTCTTGACCACCAGATGGCAGTGTCTCCTGGACTTGACCATCCACAAAGAAGTTTAAGACAGTTTCTTTTTAAAGAAAAGTTTCTCTGGGCTCTGAGAGAACAAACTTGATTTTTTCCATTTTCAGTTGCCCTGGAGGTCTGGTGCAGACTGGCTGGCCCATTGGGAACGCCCAAGAGTTGAGACACTGGTGCTTCTTAGAATGAGTGCTTCTCAGAGGGGTTCATTTCCTTTGAGTTCTCTCTACACCACCACCCCCAGCTGAAATCCAAGTTTCTAGCTGAGGCACTTGGCTCTGTTCTTCCAAGGCCACAGAGGCATTAGGGAAGCTCCCACGCCTGCCAGCAGCCCAGCTGGCTGTCCACGGAATGAATGAATCACACAGCGGAGCTCAGGCTTCTGCAGGAGTGGGGGTGGGGAGCAGATGTGTCCACATATTTCTCTGGGGCTTCCCCAAGCACTTGGCCCTAGCCCACCCTTCTAGGCTTTCTCACTCCTCACTGCAGCCAGCCAGCCCGCTTCTCAGGTGCCTTGCTTTTGTTCATGCTGCCCCCTGTAAGTGGAATGATCTCTACTAGCCTCCCTTGTCCCCATATACAAATTCCTTTCCCTCCCTTACACACCACAGCCTCCATGAAACCTCTGCACAGCTGGAAGTAATTTATTTCTCCTCTTGGCCCTCAAAGCATTTATCTCACAAACTTCGGTGTTGTGGCAAAGCTTTCTGTCCACGTATCTTTCCTGGCCTCGAGGATCAGCCCAAGCATCTGTTCCCTCTGCACCCAGAGCAAGCACTTAGGGAATATTTGATGAGTCATGGCTACCATTTGGGGGATGCCTATTTAGTGTGTCATGCCCTTGCATTGATCTCATCCCATCCTTACCTAGATTCCATAAGAGAGCGAGCTAAGGCAGACCCTCACACGTGGTAGGTGCTCAGTAGGTGTTGGCCCAGGTAATTTGATGGAGGAAGAGATTGTCTCTTCTAATCCTTCTAGCAGGTTTCTATTTTTGTCAGAGATCCCTGGTTGTGAGTACAGCCTCCCCTAGGGTGTTCCCAGTAACCAACCCTTGTTTCTGGGCTTGATGGGGTGAAGCTCCCACCAACTTTGCTTTGTTGACCTACCCATTTGCCTGGTGACCAGAGCCTTGGCTTGTCCAGTACCCACATTACCATGACTGGAGAGAAACTACCCTGGCCCTCAGTATGGGGTGAAGCCTGGGGGCTGTATTTGGGGGAGGCTCCCTTCCTCACATAGGTGTGAGCCACAGGGGGAGCTCTGGCCTGGCTCCCCATCAGCATGCTGAGTGAGCTTGAGCAAGTCTTTTGAATTTTGAAGTGGCGTGTGTGTGTGTGTGTGTGTGTGTGTGTGTATGTGTGTGTGTGTGTCGTTGTTTTTCTGAGACAGGATCTCTGTTACTCAGGCTGGAGTGCAGTGGCACACTCTCTGCTCACTGCAACCTCCATCTCCCAGGCTCAAGCAATCCTCCCACCTTAGCCTCCCAAGTAACTGGGACCACAGGCACACACCACCATGCCCAACTAATTTTTACATATATATTTTTTTAGAGACAAGGTTTCACCATGTTGCCAGGCTGGTCTCGAACTCCTGGGCTCAAGCAATCTGCCCACCTCAGCCTCCCAAAGTGTTGGGATTACAGGCATGAGCCACCACACCCAGCTGAAGTTTTTTTTAACTGCTTTTTTGAGGTATAATTTCATTCAATAAACTGCACATATTTAAAGTGTAAACTTTTTTTGCTATCTCCTACCTAAGGAATAAAGTGTATAATTAAGATACATATATATCTAACACATACACATACATACACACACACTCATGAAACCATCACCACAATCAGGATAGTGACCATATTAATCACCTAAAAAGTTTCCTGGCACCTCTTGGTAATCCCTCCCACCCTCTCCTTGCCCCCAAGTAACCACTGATCTGCTTACTGTCACTATTGATTAGTTTGCATTTTCTAGAGTTATATAAATGCAATCACACAGTATGCTCTCATTTTTGTCTAGCTTTTTCATTCAGCATAATTATTTTGAAATGATATCTTTTTATCACTGAGTAGTAGGTATTCCACTGAATGAATATACCAGAAGGTGTGATTCATTCCTCTGTTGAAGGACATTTGTTTCCAGTTTTTTTTAACTGCTTTTGTGCTATCAAGGTTTCCAAGGGTCCTACAGGGCACAAGGGAAAGTCTCAGTGAGCTGGCCTCTTCCAACCCAACACACCCAAACTCAAACCAGAGCAGCTCAACTCATAATTTTATTTGTATCTTTTAATTTATTTTTATTGTTTAGAGATGGAGCCTTGCTGTGTGGCCCAGGCTGGAATGCACTAGTGCAATTACGGCTCACTGCAGCCTTGAACTCCTGGGTTCAAGTGATCATCCCATGTTGGCCTCCCAAAGTGCTGGGATTACAGACATGAGCCACTGTGCCTGCCCCAACTCACAATTGTATCTACTGGGCTTCCGCCTACAGCCCCAGTGGTACTAAGCCATGTTCTGGACTTCAGCAGATCCCGCTTTAAATTTCTTCACCACTTAAAAACTGTGTGACCTTGGGAAAGTTCCTGATTCTTTTGTGCAACTCAGTTTCCTATTCTGGAAAACGGGGGTCATAACTACTCTGACCATTGTGAGAATTAAAGATCTTCATGTGCCTCATTCTTGATAATGGCATTCCACACATAAAACTTTCTGTCTGGCCAAAAAGTTTCACAATTATACGACTTGAAGTTTGAAAACTGAAGTCTGAAAAATTTCAGATCTAGATTATTTCAACTTCGGCAGATTATGAAAAGTAAAATGGAACCTCAAGATTGTGCCGTGTGGGAGGTGAATTGTTGTTCAGGTCACCGCCCTCTCCATGACATTCGCCTTTAATTAGTGCCAGTCTCTAAAAGACTCAAGTCTGTAATTTCTTGGGAGTGTCCATCGGAGCTTCTTTTAGATTTCCATGGCTTTGAGGGCTGTGGCCGCTTAGTTTAAGAAGACAAGTTTTC